TGTACCACACTTGTCCATGATATCTTTTTGAAAATATATTACTGAATTCATTTAGGCCATCATTATTTTACCTGTTATAGCACCTGTTTTATGAATTGGAGTTTTAATTTGTTTTGTCTATTTCATTACTGTTTTCTTTTTATAGATTATATTAACTATTTTGTTTTTCTTCTTTTGCTGTGCTCTTTCTAACTTAAGTTGGAAACATTCTTGTTTTCTCAAAATTTTTAAAGACTATAAATTTATTTTAGGTGCTATGCATACTGTACTCCACAAGTTTTTATATATAATCTTTTTATAATTTTCAATTCTAAGCATTTTTGCATTTTTTCTTTGGTGAAAGATTGATGAAATGTGTTTTTCAATTTATAAATCTAAGAAAGTATATCAGTTAGCTATTATGGCAATAATGTTTTATAATAAACCATCCCAAACTCAATGGCTCAAACAATAGTCATTTATTATTATTTATGTTTCTATGGGTTGTAGGGTAGTTCTCCTTTTCTCAGATGACCTCATTTATTCATCTGAGACCAACTGTGGGTCAGGTATGTGATTCTCTTCTCTTGCCTGGGCTTTCTCAGTGTTTGGGGTTCTACTGGTGTAGGATGACTTGGCTCTCTCCATGTATCACTCAAATCTATTTAGCAGGCTAGCTTTGGAATGTTCTCATGGCAAGCCTGAGGTCTAATAGAAAAAGGAGAAATGCATAGGCATTATTTCACAATTAAGGCATGGATACAGGACTTATGGGGGAAAAAAAAAGACCAATAATGCAATCAATATACTTCATGGAATTGGCTAGTTCACTTTTTTTTTTTTAATTTCCTGTTTGCTTGCATTATGCTCAGTAATATAGTCTGTATAATAAGAGTCTTTTGAAAATTTTTGAGGGTAGTTCCAAGTCTTAACATGGTTCATTTTCAAAAATGATATTTATATGCTTGAAAAGAGTATGTAGTCTCTAATTGTTAGATTAAAAATTCTATATATGTCCATTATATCAAGCTTATTGACTTTTCTGCTCACATATTTTATATACTACAGCTGTATTATGTTTGGGAAATGTCAATTTCTAAACAATCAGTAATAAGATCTCTCCCTATGATGATAGATTTTTAAATTTCTTCTTATAATACTGTCAAAATTTGCTTTATAAGGTTTACAAAGATAGCATAAGTTACATTCACATATAGAACTATTATAGCTTTCTAGTCGATTGAAAATTTTTTATTGCTTTTTAGTGATCTTTTTATTTTTGGTAATACTAAGTTAAAAGCAATTATTTTTAATGTTAATACAGCCGCATCTGCAATCTTTTGGAAAGTATACATATGATACATTTTCCATTTTTTTATTTTAAATTTTTATGTATCTTCATGTTTTAGGTAAGGAGCCCTGGTGGCACAACAGTTAAGCTTTTAGCTACCAGCCAAAAGGTTGGTAGTTTAAATCCATCCAGTGGATTCGCGGAACAAATACCGGGCAATCTGCTTCTGTAAAGATTACAGCCAAGAAAACCCTCTGGGGCAGTTATACTCTGTCTCTTGGGGTCGCTATGAGTCTGAATCAACTCAACAGCACACAACAACAATGTTTTAAGTGTGGTCTCTTTTGACCAGCATATAACTAGGTTTTTAAAAATCTAATGTTTTATGTGATTTATAACAGAAAAATTTTAACTATTTGCATTTATTTGGAAAACTACTACATTTTCCAACTACCATCTATTCATGAGCTTTTTATGTTTTATTTCCTCCCATTTTATTGTGTGTTTTAAACTGATTGAATGGACTATTTTTGTTTGTTTTTCCGTGTTTTTTCCGTACGTTTGGAAGTTAAACACTACACCACTATTTAGATGTTCTTCTTTTAGTCAGTATATATTTGTTTTTGTTTTTGTTTTTGAATCTAATATGAGTTCTGAGCCTTTAACCTGGAAATTTTTGTCAGTTTACATTTATTGGGCTAAGTGATGTATTTTATTTTTACAATTGTTTTGTTTTCTGTTTCTCTGATTGTTCTCACTTCTTTTGTTTCTTTTTTATGTACTTTAAGACTAGTTCAGTTTTCTTTACTTTTTAAATTTTTTCTCCTTCTACTTTAAGGCTATTAAAAATTTATGTCAATTATTTTAGTTGTCAAAAGCACTGCATATTTAAAAAACCATGAAGTTAACCAAAAGCTTTACTATATTGTTTAATAATATGAAAATATTAGAATGCATGAGATACATTTCAAGCTCTTTCCAATATATGTGCCTCTTAAGTTTGAAATGGCTCATAGTTTGTTTGTATTGGTTTGTTTTGTTTTTCTGACACTTTATGTTCTCAATCTGTATACCAATCCTTTGATGATCTCATCAAAGTAAATGGTTTTAATCACCAATTGTTTGCTGATAACTCCAAATTTACATTTCTGAGTGGCATGTCTCCCCTTTACTGCAGCCTTAAAATTTCAACTGCCTACTCCACAACTCTATTTGCATGTTCACATGTATTTCAAACTCTTCTTACTTAAATCTGAATACCTGCCTTTGCCCCACCCAAAACTTGTTTTTCCTGATATCTTCTTCATTTCACTTATTGAAAACCCAGTCCTTCTTGTCACTCAGGTGAAAAATATGGGGATCCTTAGTCATCTGACACATTTTTTCATAGTCTGGAAATAATCTGCTAGGTAATCTTGTCAGTTGTATTCCAAAATATATGTGAATGTCCCCCCACTCATCATCTCCATTGGTGCTAACCTAGTTCAAGTTACCGTCATTGTTCACCTAGATTAAAACAATCAGTGCTGCAGTGTAAGCTGCAGTAAAAAAAGACACCAAGTAAGATGCCTGAAGCTGCACAGTTACATCTCCAGTGTAATAGTCCATAGGAAGACAGGGGTCCTGCTCACAAAATTATCCAGATTTTTAAGAACTGAATATCTTATTATTCTGTTATTTCTATGAGTGTTGTTCTTGCCCTATAGCTAGGCAAGGAAGGTGAAGGAGAAAAAGATCAAAAAGTTTCTTTTTTAAAAGACATGATCCAGAAATTTTACATTAATTACCTCATGTGTCTTTCACAAGAACTTAGTAACTTAGGGAGCCTAGGTAAATTGTCTCTAGATAGCTACCGAGATAAAATGGTTTATCTCTGAGACACTAATCATTGTTGCCTACTGAAGTTTTTTCCTGTCTGCCTAATCTTAGTATGACATCTGGCCATACTTCAAGGCTACTTTGAAGATTTTTTTTTTCAAAACAAAAGCACATGAATCATTGAGTAGATTTAAAATAATAGAGTCATTCAACAACAAGATACACTTTGTAGCTCAAATTTAATAACCCATAGATTAATTATATATTATTTATGCAATCATTCACGGTGTTTAAAACTCAATATTGCGTGAATAATATAACTATAGGAAATGGTTTGACAGTCAATTACAGTTTAGTATTTGTTCCATAATTCCTCATGCATCCTTTTTCTAATAAAACCAAAAAACCAAACCTGTTGCCTAGGGTTGATTCCGACTCATAGTGACACTATAGGACAGAGTAGAACTGCCACAAAGTGTTCCAAGGCTGTGATCTTTATGGAAGCAGGCTGTCATATCTTTCTCCCATGGAGCTGCTAGTGGGTTTGAACTGCCAACCTTTCTGTGAGCAGCCAAGCACTTTAACCAATGCGCCATTAGAGCTCCTTCCATTTCTAATAAGTCTTACCGAATTTTTACCAACTTTTTCATACTATTGTTCAACTTCATTCTCTTTACTTTTAATAACTTTTGTTATTGTAAATCAGCTTTAAATATACAAATTTGGAAACTTGTTTAAGCTCAGTTTTTCTTAAAATGTGGACTACACATCATGTACATCAAAATCACCTAGGGTTGTATTAAATTCTTTGGATTGCCCTTACAAATTAGGACAACAGAAATGGAGTGGCTTAAGAGAGCAAAAATCCATTCTCTCACAGTTTTGGAAGCTAGAAGTTCAAAATCTAAGTTTTTGGCAGTCCATGCTGTTTCTTGAAGGCAATAGAGAAGGATCTCTCCATGCTTCTCCCCTAGCTTCTTGTTGTTGGCCATCGTTGACATTCCTTGGCTTGCAGCTGCATAACTCCTATCTCTGTTTCTATCATCACATGTGGCTGTCTTCCATGTTTGTCCTTCTGTCTCTGTATCTCTTTTCCTCTTTTTATAAGGACACTAGACATCTTGGATCAGGGTGTGCCCTACTTCAATATGACTCATTGGCCCATCTTACTCCAATATAACTCAACATCAACAACTAATAGCATCTTCAAGGACCCTTTTTCCAAACAAGGGTCACATTCACAGACACTGAGGGTTAGGACTTCAGCTATCTTTCTGAAGGACACAATTCAACCAGTAACAGGAATAGATGATCAAAGCAGGATGTCAAGCATATGGATCAAGGCATTGAGAAAACATGAACACATTGGCCCAGAAGTTTGAAATGGGCTTCTCATTTAATCTTTGGCAATTTCAAGCTGAGTATCATTGAGCAAAGTTTTCTCACTATCAAATTAAGGCATTGGATGATATGACTTCAGACATAACTTCAAACTCAAAGATGTAATGACTCTAAAAACAAGTCATCTAACCTTAGATATGTGACACCAACATGGGGCAGAATCCTCAAGAGGAAAGAATTTTCATTAGAGGTCTTTTTTATCTTTTTTTTTTTAGTTGCAAAATATGTTTTTTGTGTGCAGAAATGATAGACCTGGTCATTTGCAAATAGGTATTCTTCTCCACAGAAACCTAAGATTCTTTCATTCCTTCGTTCTTTAGTTCCTTTGTTTCCTTCCTTCTTTCTTGTTTGCTTTAATACCCCCTTTCTTTTAACATCTAGAAGCCATAACTATTCTAGAGGATCTAAATTTACTTTTCTTTTAGTAACTTGTCAGAAAACTAACGGTGCAAATTTTTCCATTAAACTAATACGTCAATTCCCTCCACCTACCTTTATTTATTTTCTCTAGGAAAACCCACTACATTATGCGAGACTATGGGGAAAGCTGAAATTTGGCTAATCCGAACATACTGGGATTTTGAATTTCCTCGCCCATACTTACCTAACTTTGAGTTTGTTGGAGGCTTGCACTGCAAACCTGCCAAACCTTTACATAAGGTAGGTCTAATACCTTATGATATGATAACTGATCCTGATTTTCCTTTAAATATTACAGACTGAAAAAGATACACATACTGCTGCAAATCTTTGGTTTGCCACTCCAAATTTATTTTCCAGGTCTCAGGTTGTTCTTATGAGTGATATTAGTTCTTTTAGACTTTCCATTGAAATTTTAAGCAGAAGAATGACATATTTAAAGTATTATTTTTAGTGGTGTTTCTATATTATGGATAACGGATTGGAGATAATGGATGATCTACAGACATGGAGATTATTAGGGAGGTTTCTCTAGTAGACCTAACAAGCATGATGGAGATCTCATCAAGCATATTTACCATAATGGGAGAGAGATACAGATGCTCCTTGGAAACTCTATGGGACAGTTCTACTCTGTCCTATAGGGTTGCTATGAGTCAGAATCGACTCAATGGATTGGGGTTTTTTGGGGGATTTGAGGACTAAGAGGAAGTAAATTTAGGGCAGAGATAGAATCAAGGAGGACTCCTGTATTAACATTGTGGGTTTTTTTGTTTTATTTTGGTTTTGGATAATAGTGACTTTTATTAAAATAGAAAATGCTTGGTGGAAACTTCTTTGAGACAAGGAAGATGAGTTCAGCTTTGGACCTATTAACTATAAGGAGCCAATGGGATTTTCAGGTCGAGATGTCTAGAAGCTTTTTCAATACTACTATAAGGTCTCAATCTCAGCAGGCAGCAATAGAAATAGAGTAAGAGCCATCAGTATAAAGTAGAAACCATGGAGATGAAAGACTCAAATATTGAATTGGTTCTTTGCTGGCATCATGGCAGATTTATTTTGAAGTGAAAAAATAATAATCTTATACCGATTCCAAAGTCTTCAAACAACAAATGTGAAGTGCCAGGGATGTTGTAAGGAAACAGTTTTGAGAAGCAAAGTATAACAATCAACAATCATGGTAAGAAACTGTTTTTGACTATTAATAGGGAATGAGGACATGTACCCTCACTTCAGCTGTGGGAAAATCAGCAAAATCTCTTTAGGAAAGTTGTAGCGTTCATGGTGTTCCCAGGTGAGTTTTTTATTTCTGCTTAGGACAAGATGTATATTGAGATGTGAAATTTCATTTCCGAATTCTGGATATCCTATTCTTACCACTCAAGTTATATTTGCAAACCAAAATCTATTGAGAGTTGCTATTATAGGAGTTAAAAAACCAATATCTTACTAGAGACAGAGGAAAAGAAGTGAGATTTTCCATGATTCTCTAGAAAATATCCCATTCCACACTTATTAACAACCTGTGTTAGGCAGATGATCTAACCTAGCTTGCTGAAAGTGAAGAGGACTTGAAGCACTTACTGATGAGGATCAAAGACCACAGCCTTCAGTACAGATTACACCACAACATAAAAAAAACAAAAATACTCATAACTGAACCAATAAGCAACATCATGATAAACGAAGAAAAGATTGAAGTTGTCAAGGATTTCATTTTACTTGGATCAACAATCAACACCCATGGAAGCAGCATTCAAGAAATCAAACAACATATTGCATTGGGCAAATTTGCTGCCAAAGACCTTTTAACATTTTAAAGTGTTAAAATGCAAAGATGTCATTTTGAGGACTAAGTGTCTGACCCAAACCATTGTGTTTTTAATTGCCTCATATGCACGTGAAAGCTGGACAATGAATAAGGAAGACTGAAGAAGAATTGATGCCTTTGAATGATGATGTATATATTGTATATACCATGGACTTCCAGAAGAACAAACAAGTCTGTCTTGGAAGAAGTACAGCCAGAATGTTTCTTAGAAGGAAGGATGGCGAGACTTTGTCTCACACGCTTTGGACATGTTATCAGAAGGGACCAGTCCCTGGAGAAGGACATCATACTTGGTAAAGTAGAGGGTCAGCGAAAAAGAGGAAGACCTTCAACGAGATGGATTGACACTATGGGTACAACAATGAGCTCAAACATAACAACGATAATTAGAGTGGTGCAGGACCAGGCAGTGTTTCCTTTTGTTGTACATGGGATCACTATAGTTGGAACCAACTCAAGGGCACCTAACAACAACAATCCCTTTCTAAAACATACACAGACACAGACACACAGACACACACACACACATACACACACATATGTACCACAGTTCCCTCAGATTAATCAGGGAAAGGTAAACATGAGAAAAACAATCCTGAAGGCCTGTCTCAAGGAAGGTACATCACTTTAGTAACAATTGCTTGGATATAAACTGTCATGCTAATGATTCAAGGTTCCAGGAGCCCAAATGAGAACTCTTTCTTGGACTTCCTTCCAAAGAATATTTTTAAGAGTTTTCAATCAACTAGATTGTTTGATAAAATTAAGCCTAGGTAGTAACAGTGCCTGTGAAAGGCACTGCCACTTTATCACTTTTTCTTTTTGTATACTGGATTTATTCTATGCCTCTAGTATTAATCACAGTTTACATTTTTTAGCCATACGTTTCAGACATGTATTTCCTCCTTAAAAGACTAGATGGTTGTATATGTCAAAGATAGCACCAGTCTAACAGTGCTTTTAACACTTCAGTTGATTCTTCATGTTTAGAATTACAAGTGAATGTTATTTTTTTCCTGTGATGTTGCAGTTTTATAATATAGAGTTGTTATTTTTTTTCATTGCAGGAAATAGAAGAATTTGTCCAGAGCTCAGGTGAACATGGTGTTGTGGTTTTTTCTCTGGGGTCAATGGTCAAAAACCTCACAGAAGAAAAGGCCAATCTCATTGCCTCTGCCCTTGCCCAGATTCCACAAAAGGTCAGTACTACTCCATCTTGGTGGGTAGCTACTGTATCAATTCAAAAGAGAACGCGGCTAGTAGTGCTTTTTCTAGATGAAAGCTGAACCTCATCATACAGTTTGCATGACCAATAAGAGCTTTAAGTCAAAAATTGTAAAACATTAAAATAGTGTGTTTAGGTGTATTTGCTCATTTGCCTAGTCAGCTTTGGCATTCATATGGATGTTCATCTTGTTTGTACTCATTCATTTGTAACAGACTAGAGATGAAAACACTTAACACCCTCACTAACCTTACACTATTTGAAATATTAACTCTTGTACTGCCTACACCCAAAAGTTCTGAAGTGTTTTAGCTCTAAACTGCAGGAAAAGGGAAAACTGATATGACATATAGTAGAATCTTGCTCAAGAATGTACACTTGTCTAGGTTATCTTGGGACTCTATCCAAATGTAGTTGGCTTAGAAGTAGAAGCCTAAATACATTTAATCTTTCTAAATAGAGCTGTCTATTGAATAGCCAATTAGGTCTCAATTAAAAATCCAAATAATATAGTCAAGCAACATACATGTTTTAATTTATGTTAATTAATCTTAACTTTGTTGTCACTACAATTCTAGTTTTCAATTCTTTATATGCTACTGATTTCAACTCTTACATATTCCTATCGTGAAATATCCAAGAGCTGTTTTTATTTCTATGTTTAGTTAAAATATATAAAACATTGCGAAGCCAAGTGTGCTAATTAGGTATATTGAAACTTTGGATTTCTGTTTCTAAACATCTCTGCTAGTGGTTTGAGCGTCTATGCCATCTTTTAGTACTTGACCTGATATTTGTCTTACAGACTTCCCAAACAGAAAACATGTAACAAGAGGTTCAAATTATAACAATTACTTCATTAAAAAACTGGAACATAAGCAAATCCCCTATCTTACCCTTCTCAAAAAATACAAATAAAAAAGAAGGAAGAAATGAAGAAAGGAAAGGAAAAAGGAAGAATATAAGGAAAAAAGGGAAGGAGGAAGAAAAAAAAAAACAGTTATCCAAATAACAGTCACACATAATATAAAACAAATTATATTTTTGGGAAAAACTGAATTTGAAAAATGAAAGCTAGGATAGCCCAGGGACACACATTTATGCAGAAGTTATGTTGTTAAATTGTGTTTAACTCCCATATTCTGATGTATTAATCCAGTACCTTTTTCTTTTCCGATTCTTCACTTATAATCTCATTCCCAGAGGCATTTCAGACAATTGTCAAAATAATAGTATGTTTAACAGACTATTAGAACATGCCATTTTTAAAATGGTGGATATAAGTAATTTTACTCTTTCTTTCAATATTTTCAAAGCACCCCTAAAACACTGCCCTCTCAACTCTGAGTTGAAGAGCGTGGACCATGTGATTTCTAAATAAGCCTACAACCTTAAAATGCCATCATTCTGTATTTTTACTTGTGAAATAAATGTGTGTGTGTGTGTGTGTGTGTGTTTTGCACAGGTTTTATGGAGATACAACGGAATGAAACCAGCCACATTAGGAGCCAATACTCGACTCTATGATTGGCTACCCCAGAACGATCTTCTTGGTAAGACTGTGGAGGCCCCCCAAAAAAAAAGGTATACAGTTGGATAAGAAACAAGTTGGATAACTGTTTAATAGCAAATACAACAAATATTCAAAATTGTAAGAGTTTTACCATTTACTTTCAGGTTTAAAATAGATATGTAATGAAATAAATGACCATTAATTTTATAGATTTATGCTTCCAATGGTTCACATAAGAATTATCAGTGCAGTGTCTCATCATTCTCCGTTTTAGCTCAGTTCAGATATCACCTCCTCAGTAAAAATTTCCCATACACCGCAGAAGTAGTTAACTTCTTTTTCCTTGGACTGAAGTTTTCTGAGCTAGCAATGGCCATATATTCAGCTTACATAGAAAATTCTGGTTTCTTAGGCAAGTTATCCTGTTTTTTCTCTTCTCTCTCTGAAATTGTGTAACATATTATAATGTGATCCTCACCCAGTTCTTATCCAACCCCCGACTAGGTCATCCCAAAACAAAAGCATTCGTAACTCATGGTGGAACTAATGGAATCTATGAAGCTATTTATCATGGGGTCCCTATGGTGGGAGTTCCCATGTTTGCTGATCAGCCTGATAATATCGCCCACATGAAGGCTAAAGGAGCAGCTGTGGATGTGAACATAAATACAATGACAAGTGCAGATTTCCTCAATGCTTTGAGAACAGTCATTAACGATCCTTCGTAAGTACTACTGCTTTCTATACGGTCACCACTGATTGTGTTATCCATCATACTAGAAAGTGTTCAGTGTTTCATGCTTTTACAATCAGTTTATTTTAAAATAACCACCATAACATGACAAATATAATAACCACTTTCTTATTTCATTTCCCAAACTGCCTTACCAAAATTGAAAAAAAAAAGAAAAGATGACAGTTTCAAATATTCTATCAAAAAACTTCTTTAAATTAAGTAAGTAATGTTAAGGATTATATAAATTCTCAGAATTTTTACTGGATAATATGTTCATTTTTATGAACATTAAATAACTGCTTATTGAAACAATTTAGTAATGACAGAAATGGAAGTGATAATTTATCCAATATTAATCATTCAGAAATAACCAATATTTTCACTGAGTAGATCACATTCTTCAGTATACATATATGCATACAGAGAGGAGAGATGTAAAGTAATTAATAATTTCATAAATATCAATTGGTTCTCTATGTGTACTTTTTAAATAAAATCTTAAATACAATTTTATTTTATTTAGTTGAAAAAGCAAATGACATTAAACTGTAAGGTTTATTGATTTTTAGATATATATCCTTACACAATTTCCCCCCTCTCGAAGACCTCACTAAGGTTAGGAAATAATATACTGTATGTATGCAAAATTTTGAGTCATTAATTTTAACTATGTGCTTTAATTTTAGCCACTATCAGTTGGACCCCTGCTATGGAAGTAATTTCTTTCCCAATTTGTATTACTTATAATTTTAATTTATCATTATTTATGGCATTTATTTTCTTCACATTTGTTTAGTCTTTTTTGTGATATTTGAAGAGATTCAATGTTTACAATCAGTCTTTGAATCAGAGATTCTTTATTCCAAAATATTTTGGATTTGTTTTTTGACTGACTATATCATATAGGAGCCCTGATGGCACAGTGGTTAAGAGCTTGGCTGTTAATCAAAAGGTCGGCAGTTCAAATCCACCAGCTGCTCCTTGGAAACCCCATGGAGCAGTTCTTTGTCCTATAGGGTCACTGTGAGTCTAAATTGACTGGACAGCACCAGGTTTTATGTCATTTAGAAGTGTTTTTCAATAAAGATTCATGATATTGAATTGCCTGAGATCGTGTTTAAAGACTAGTGGGATATGCGATTGCTCATAAACTTTTTACGGCTCTTAGGTTTCTTGGGAAGGTACTTCCCCCATTGAAAATATTTGCTGCCCTCCAGTGGGGATTTGTGTAATAGTGAGAGGTGAAAGAAACATTTGTTGAAGCAAAATAACCAGGGTATTAGACAAAACCAAAGGTGCCCTATGTACCAAATGGAATATGCCCCTCAATAAAGCCTGCTACCCAAGACCGGTGGGCCAGACAGTCAACCACAAATCATGTATTTTCATATAATATTTCTCGAAATGCATATTACCAACCAAAAAAGTAAACACACTTGATGACTAAGCATGCTTCCATTAATGAAAACACATGGTATTGACAAAAAATTCAAAGCAGAAAATAATGGGGCCTTGAAAGGGTTATCAAAGTTAGCTCAGTGCCTTTGTAGGAGAATAACCATGTCTGAGTGTAATATACTTAGGTCTTATTTTTTTTCTTTCCAAATTGTGTAAATATTACTCATAGTCTTCTGACTTGAAATGCTGCTGTGGGATTTCTGAAGCCTTTCTTTCTGATCATTTTCTCTTTTTAGGAATTTCCTTTTTAATCAGGAAAAGACATCTTTATTTTTTTAATTCAGAAACTTAACAATGACATGTCTTTAGAAATTACTGTATAATTTCTCCCTGGGTTATACCAAAAACCAAACCTGTTGCCGTTGAGTTGATTCCGACTCACAGCAACCCTATAGGACAGAGTAGAACTGCCCCATAGAGTTCCCAGGGAGCACCTGGTGCATTTGAACTGCCAACTTTTTGGGTAGCAGCTGTAGTTCTTAACCACTATGCCCCGCTGGGTTATAGTGGGGTCTTAAAACACTGTAAATCCAGGATTGAAAAAAATACTCAGTTTTTCATTTCAGAAAAAAACTTCTTGTTTGTTATTTATTCAAATTCCTTTTTGTTCTTTTTTTATGTCTACTTCAGGGACATGAAGTATTAGTTTTCTTTTTCTTGAATTTTGTTTGTTTGTTCTTTTTCTCTATTATTTTCCCCGTACTTATTCTAGTATCTACTCTTTTTAATCACTGTGATTGCCTCCAATATATCCTCAAATTAATAATTGACTTTTTCATCCTGAACATTTCTGTTTCTAATTTCTTTATTAATTCTTTATGTTATTTTTTAACACAATTTATTTCAATAGCTCATCAATTACCGTTTTTCATACCCTGTTGTTTTATAATCTCATTTTTTATCTCTTTTTTCATTAAACTAACAACCTTCCTATAACCTCAAATCTTCTCTTTGATGGGTTATATATTAAGCCTACCTAAATTCTTCATCTCTATTTTTATTTTTTATTATTAATATGTGCATGAGTATAAAGCCAAGTTTTTTTATCTTGCTTTTTAAGTATCTGCTCTGGTATTGTGTAGGCATATTGTGCTTAAAATAGCTTTCACATTATCTCAGATGCAATTCAATTATTCAGAGTCAAAACTTGAAGGGTTCATTCACTTTCCTGATACTTAAATTTAAGCTTAAAATTCATAAGTTAGGGAAAAAGGTGAGCTCAGATGGAAGTATGTGCAGCTCTTTTTAGTGGAACTAGGCTGTATAAAGGTCCCTGAGTGGTGCAAGTGGTTTGAAGTTGGCTGCTAACCTAATGATTGGTGGTTTGAACCCACCCAGCAGCACTGCAAGAGACAGGTCTGGTGATCTGCTTTTGTAAAGATTACAGGCAGGAAAACACTATGAAGTAGTTCTACTCTGTAACACATGGGATCATCATGAGTCAGAATAGACTCAACAGCAGTGGATTTGGTTATTTTGGTTAGGATATATAAAAACATCTGTTAATTGTCTTTGTCCCAGGGTTTACTAGACAAAATAAAAAGTGTACTCATTTGCAAAAGGAAGACAGTCTATATTTGGCTTGGATCTATCTTAAAGGGTCAGCCTGGTTATTCATTTTCCCCTCCTCTGCACATTCTAGTCAACTGATTCGGATTAATACGCATGTATAAATAATAACTTTCAGGATACTATAGAAGTAATCAATTCAGGAACTGGGTTAGGAGGCACATACATCTAGCCTTACTTCAGTCATTTGCTTTTTATAAATGTTGACCTTAATCTCTTATGTATTAGAGTATTTCCATTCTCTGCATTGTTAGTTGCTGATAATTTTATTCACTTTATTAAATCTAAGAGCAGGGAAGTTGTATGATATGTATATATTCTTTTCTCAACCTCATTGCAAAAAGTGCTCCTTAATTTTTTTAATTTGAAAAAATATTTATGCATAAAATACAGAAACGTGAATAATCTTAGAATTTTCAAGGTAAGTATATAGAACTTATTTTAATATTTTAACATTGACTTTAAATCGAACCTAAATCCAAACTATATGAGAACACCAAAGTATAGTAAATACTACACATGTATTTATATTCTGTTCTCTTATTCCATAAAGTAATTTAAGGAACACAAAATATTACATGTGAATACATAAACCATACTAATGTCATTACTCAGAATACTGTAAGATATCAGTCATAAGTAATCAGTGTATATTAAAATGTAAAATAATCAATTTAAATGAATATGGTCCTTCCTTATCTGACCTCATTTCTAAGAAAACATACTTGATTTTTATCTGTTTACACATGTACAGGTTTATCTATTAAGTATATGAGTATATAAATTTTAAATCCCTATCTTTAAATTACATCAAGGACATCATACATGAAGAAAGCAAGAGACCATTAAAAAGACAGGAAAGAAAGAAAAGATCAAAATGGATGTCAGAAGAGACTCTGAAACATGTTTTGAAGGTAGAATATCTAAAGCTAAAGGAAGAAATGATGAAGTAAAACAGCTGAACAAAAGATTTCAAAGGGCGGCTCGATAAGACAAAGTAAAGTATTATAATGAAACATGCAAAGACCTTGAGATAGAAAACCAGAAGGGAAGAACACACTCAGAATTTCTCACGCTGAAAGAACTGAGGAAAAAATTCAAGCCTCGGGTTGCAATACTGAAGGATTCTACATGGAAAATATTAAAAGATGCAGCAAACATCAAAAGAAGATGGAAAGAATACACAGAGTCATTGGACCAAAAAGAATTGGTCCACATTCAATCATTTTAGCAAGTGGCATATGATCAAGAACCAATGGTACTGAAAAAAGAAGTCCAAGCTGGCCTGAAGGCATTGGTGAAAAACAAGGCTCCAGGAATTGATGGAATATCAACAAATGGATGCAGCACTGAAAGTGCTCACTCTGCTATGTTAATAAATTTGGAAGACAGCTACCTGGCGAACCGGCTGGAAGGGATCCATATCTGTGCCATTCCAAAGAAAGGTAATCCAACAAAATGAGGAAATTATCAAACAATATCATTAATATCACATGCATATAACATTTTGCTGAAGATCATTCAAAAACGATTGCAGCAGTACATCAACAAAGAATTGCCAGAAATTCAAGTCGGATTCAGAAGAGGATATGGAACCAGGGATATCACTGCTGATGTCAAATGGATCTTGGCTGAAAGCAGAGCACACCAGAAAGATGTTTACGTGTGTTTTATTGACTACGCAAAGGCATTCGACTGTGTGGATCATAACAAATTATGGATAACATTGCCAAGAATGAGAATTCCAGAACACTTAAATGTGCTTATGAGTAACCTGTACATAAACCAAGAGGTAGTCATTCAAAGAGAACAAGGTGATACTGCATGGTTTAAAGTCAGAAACGGTGTGTGTCAGGGTTGTATCCTTTCACTATACTTATTCAATCTATATGCTAATAAATAATTTGAGAGGCTGGAATATATGAAGAAGAACAGGACATCAGGATTAGAGGAAGACTCATTAACAACATGAGATATGCAGATGACACAACCTTGCTTACTGAAAGTGAAGAGGACTTGAAGCACTTGCTTATGAGGATAAAAGACTACAGCCTTCAGCATGGATTATACCTTAACATAAAGAAAACAAAAATGCTCACAACTGGAACAAAAAGCAGCGTCATGATAAGTAAAGAAAAGTTTGAAGTTGTAAAGGATTTCATTTTACTTGGATCCACAATCAAACACCATGGAAGCAGCAGTTAAGAAATCAAACGACGCATTGGATTGGGCAAATCTGCTGCAAAAGACCTCTTTAAAGTGTTAAAAAGTAAAGATGTTACTTGGAGGACTAAGGTGTGCCTGATCCAAGTCATGATGATTTCAATCGCTTAATATGCACGCGAAAGTTGGACAATGAGGATTGAAGAAGGATTGACGCTTTTGAAGTACGGTGCTGGCAAAGAATATTGAATATACCGTGGACTGGCAGAAGAACGAACAAATCTGTCTGGGAAGAAGTACAGCCAGAATGCTCCTTAGAAGCAAGGATGGCGAGAGTTCATCTCACATACTTTGGACATGCTATCAGAAGGTTCTAATCCTTGGAGAAGGACATCGTGCTTGGCAAAGTAGAGGGTCAGCGAAAAAGAGGAAGACCCTCAATGAGATGGATTGACACAGTGACTACAACAATGGGCTCAAGCATAACCACAATTGTGAGGATGTCACAGGACAGGGCAGTGTTTTGTTCTGTTGTACACAGGGTCACTTTGAGTCAGAACTGACTCAATGGCACGTAACAACAACAACAACATCTTTAAATTGAGGACACATTGAACAAAAATCAAATTTGAAGAGACAGACTTTTATCACCACTATATTTTGCTTACAATGTATTAGGATGAACCAGATAAAATAGTGGTTTTTAACATTACCTACACCTGTTGTCATCAAGTCAATTCAGACTCATAGTGACCCTATGGTACAGTCCAATTGTACTAGAATACGACAGTTCTTCCTCAGTACATAAAATAAGCACAAATAAATAATATCTTGCTAATGAACTCATTTTACCATGTTTACTTGTGAATGAAAACTAATTCCCTCTACCTCATTCCCAACAATGGGCATCCCAAGAATGGGCATCCCAAGATGTCCATACCGGACATCTTCTCTCCAACCACTTCTCTTCTCTCATCATCATGTCTCTAGGCTGGAACTTTAATGTCCAACCCAAACCAAAGTGAAATCTATCAATTCTGGGTCAGCCACCAGGAAACTTCATGGAAGATATTGCCTTTCAAACACACAGGTCTCCACCCAGTCTTCTCTGGGAGACCATTAGAGTCCTAAGTTTACCACTATTGTTACTGTAATGCCACATTGTGATAAGAAGACCTGATTGTAACAAAATGTTTCTATTTACCTTAAAAACGCAAATCCCATGTATTTGGATATGCTGCCTTTTATGATAGACTTGTATCTTCATTCAATCTTGATGTTGCATACAGAAAAACTGTCCTTTGCATCAGAAATTAATATGTGTGTGAAAAAGAAAAGTTGTCATTGTGGCAAAATATAGAGACTGGGAAAATAACTCACCCGTTAGTAATCAGGATGTGAAATGTAGAAGTATGAATCAAGGAAATTGGAAGTCATCAAACATGAAATGGAATGCTTGACGATCATTATCCTAGATATTAGTGAGCTGAAATGGACCGATATGGGCCAATTTTAATCTGATAATTGTATTGTTTACTATGCTGGGAATGACAAATTGAAGAGGAACCACGTTGCATGCATCATCAAAAAGAACATTTCAAGGTCTATCCTGAAGTACAGTGCTGTCAGTGATAAGTTACTATTCATATGCCTACAAAGAAGAACAGTTAATACCACTATTATTTAAATGTACACACCAACCACCAAGGCCAAAGATGAAGAAATTGAAGATTTTTTAGAACTGCTGCAGTCTGAAATTGATCAAATGTGCGATCAAGACGCAATGATAATTACTGGTGAATGGAATGTGGAAGTTGGGAAAAAAAGGAAGAGACAATAGTCAGAAAATATGGCCTTGGTAATAGGAATAATGACAGAGATTTAATGATACCTGCGGTATGAGGCTTGCAAGTAAGGTAGTGCAACCAAGAAGTTCGATTGGTTAAAAATTTTGTCTCTTTTGGCTTTTATACCCCTAGACAAGCCTTGTAAGCATATTTATGGTTTCCTGTGTGATAGGAAGCCCTGCTGGACTTGGTTTTAGTTTTTTGTGTCGTATGTGGAAAACCAGAGGTTTCCCATATAACCTGATGGAAATCATCCCACAATATTTTCAGCAACCAAGGTTCATTGGGAAAGACAGTTGTCCACCAATCAGCAGGCTTGAGAACACACAAATTTCAGTGGTAACCATGTAGTCAAAGACAATATTTCCCAAAATCCATATTACCAACCAAAAACTTAAACACATCCCATGACTCAACATTCTTCCATTAATGAAAACACATAGTTCAAAAAAAAAAAAATTCAAACCAGAAAATAATAGAGTCAAACGTGTAATGCATGGGGTCACCATGAGTCATAGCCTACTGCATGGCAAATAACAATGTAAACTACCAATTTTCCACGTCAGACATCATCAACTAGCCAGGTATCAGAAGCCATGCACTTGTACTATTAATAGATCTTTATCACATTTTTGGATCATTCAGCATCCTAGTTTATGAATAGTCCTAAAAATTGTACTTCATACTCTGTAACAATTCTTTCTTGGAAAAAGAAGCTATACATTCATAACTAGCATATTACATTTTTTTCCTATATCAACATTTGACCACACTCTGTAGAGAATATACTTGTTCCCCACTCTCCCCTCTGTTGAGAATATGCTTGTTCCCCATTTTCTCCTATCAATATTCATATCACAGCAAGAATTAATCTTTTCCTTAATAGTTTGTGGCCTTTGTCTTGTATAAGTTATATAACTTGTCGTATTCTTATCTTTAGTGATTATTAAAAAAATCATCTCTCCTTTCTGTCTATGTATTTGCCTCCAGTTATAAAGAGAATGCAATGAGATTATCAAGAATTCACCATGATCAGCCTGTTAAGCCTCTGGATCGAGCTGTCTTCTGGATTGAGTTTGTCATGCGCCACAAAGGAGCCAAGCACCTTCGGCCAGCTGCCCATGACCTCACCTGGTACCAGTACCATTGCTTGGACGTTATTGGGTTCCTACTGGCCTGCGTGGCAACGATTATACTCTTGATCACAAAATGTTGTTTATTTTCTTGTCAAAAATTTGGGAGAACAGGAAAAAAGAAAAAGAGGGAATAGATTTGTCCAGTTTGGCAAATGCTGGTGCAGGGCAATTTCTGTTGATTTTTAGCCATAAGAAGCTTAATTAAAAAAAAAATTAACAACATCGCATATGTCCTGTAGAGCACTCACCTCACTCCTTTAGTCTAGTTATATGGCTTAAAATTCAATAAGATCTTTAACTGACTGTGTCCCATTCTTCCTTTGTCTCTTCCCAGAGTTTTGCCCTCTTCTCAAATTCCTGACTTAGGGACACTAATAATTCTAAATATGTCCTATTCATAACATTAATATTTTCTTTTTTTAACCTTAAGTGATATGATGAATAACAATATGCTGACTCCTGGGGAGTGCACAGAATGTGAGCTGAATTTGATGGATGTAAGGAACTCAGAAGAGTAAAATTCACAAACACTCACAGACCATACAAGTCAGGAAAGCACCATTAGAAATGTGTTTGTTATGAGAAAAGTAAAGATTTCCTTTTTTCAACAAAATTAGGTCTTCTGTTTGCCCAATGCTATTGGAATTAACTGTGATAAACCATCACATTTGGAAAGGTTAAAATATCCCATGGAGTTTATCCAGATAACCATGGCCTACATTTCTGCCTTTAGTAAATAAAAAAATAAAAATTCTTCTGAGCCTTTTATGCACAAGGGACAGTTCTGGGTATTGACTTCAAACAAATAAGTGAATCAATTAAGTCATTTTTTCTCAGGGACAGAAAATGTCAGCAATATATTCCAGATAAACAGATCATTTCAGTAGAAATAACTACAAAAACATAAGAAAAATTATTTTACTGATTTTATAAAATTTTTAATTAACAGTACAATAGAGACTCTTAAAGTTAAATGTCAATTCATTATGTATAGCAATAACTAAAATTCATAATCTTTATTCTTTATAATCAAACATATAATTACAATTGAAAGTATAATTTACTGTGGGAAAAATAAATATTTATTCTAAAAATAAGATCATTATTTTCCAGTCTCTATGTTCTACAAAATCTATTCATAAATTAATTATCTCCTATGCTAAAAACATAAGCTATTGGAAGATCTGCTTATCCAAGCATATACTGTAGTAAATGTTTATCATTATAAAACTCTCCAATAAAGAATAGATTTATTCATACACTAATCAGCTTTACATTAATTTAACAAATGTATCAATGTTTACAGTTTATTTACCCTCTTATAATCTTAATAAGATGTCTTCCTAAAGTTTTAACATTTGATATATTACTGCAGGATATATGACATCCATAGATTTCTCAAAAATTTAGAATTCTTTACATTTTAATGTTTCATATTCAAAAATATCTTCCAATTTAAAAATAACTATACGACGGGAAAATGTAATTACTCTTTCTTGAATATCTACATGACTGAAAATAAAAATAGATTATTTCAAATACTTTTGTGAATGCTGAAAATTTATTTTCTAAATGTTATTCGGTTTTTTAAAAGTGGCTCATCTTGATGTGTGTTTTAAATTTCACAATGTAATTGTATTTTTGAAAGTGCTGTTTGTGTTTGCTCTCGTCTCAGTCTGTTCTCTGCAATGAGAATGCAGCAATTGGCTAAGATGCAGTGAGAGGTGGGCCACCATCCCTAGGTTAAGCTTCCATACATTCAGGTGTCCTCTTTGGCCACTGAGAGTAGCCACCCATTGCTGATGTAATTTGCTGCCATACCACAATCTCTGCTCACACTTTTCCTTTTTCCTTCAATACTCACTGCATTTTGAGAACAGCTAGAATTAGATTTGAACTGGCTTCATGGTACATTCTGTCCTGGACACCAAGTTAACATTTGACCGTAGAAGGTATTTAAGAGCTCCCTCAACTCAAAGACAAAGGGTTTGGGGTTTTTTTGTATTTTGTATTTATTTTTTTGGTTTGCTATGCATTAAGTCTTAAATGTCCTTTACAAGTCAAATTAGAAATATCAAGTCTAGAACTCAAGGGACTGACTGCTCTGGTCAAGAAATCAAAAATTGGGTATTAAGTATATAATCCTTAAGCCTGGGTAAGATCATACAGCTCGAGAAGGGTACTGGCAGAAACAGTATTTACACTGATAATTCAACTGAAAAGACTGTAGGATGTGAGAGCTTTGACAAATGTTGGCATAACTAAGAAAATAAACAAGGGATGATGAATTGCCCAGAGAAGAAATTCTCTATAAACCCTAGTGCAAAGAGAACAAATGCAAGATATATTATTGTTGTTGTTGTTAGGTGCTGTTGAGTCAGTTCTGACTCATAGTGATCCCATGTACAACAGAATGAAACACAGACTGGTCCTTCGCCATCCTCACAACTGTTGTTATGCTTAAGCCCATAGTTGCAGCCACTGTGTCAATCTACCTCATTGAGGGTCTTCTTCTTTTTCACTAACCCTCTACTTTACAAAGCATGATGTCCTTCTCTAAGAACTGGTCCCTCCTGATAACATGTCCAAATTATGTGAGGCAAAGTCTCACCATCCTTGCTTTGAGGAAGTGTTCTGGTCATACTTCTTCCAAGACAGATTTGTTCATTCTTCTGGCAGTCCATGGTATATTCAATATTCTTCGCCAGCACCGCAGTTTAAAGGCATCAATTTTTCTTCGGTCTTCCTTATTCATTGTCCAGTTTCTGCATGCATATGATGCAATTGAAGATATCATGGCTTGGGTCAGGCTCATCTTAGTCTTCAAGGTGACATCGTTGCTTTTAACACTTTAAAGAGGTCTTTTGCAGCTGATTTGCCCAATACAATGCGTCATTTGATTTCTTGACTGGTGCTTCCATGGGCATTGATTGTGAATCCAAGTAAAATGAAATCTTTTACAACTTCAATATTTTCTCCATTTATCATAATACTGCTTATGAGTCCACTTGTGAGGTTTTTTATTTCCTTTATGTTGAGGTGTAATCCATACTGAAGGCTGTGGTCTTTGATTTTCATCAGTAAGTGCTTCAAGTACTCTTCATTTTCAGCAAGCAGGGTTGTGTCATCTGCACTTGGCAGTTTATTAATGAGTCTTCCTCCAATCCTGATGCCCCATTCTTCTTCATATAGTTCAGCTTTTTGAATTGTTTGCTAAGCATACAGATTGAATAAGTATGGTGAAAGATTGCAATCCTGACACATACATTTTCTGACTTTACCCATGCAATATCCCCTTGTTCTGTTTGAACGACTGCCTCTTGATATAGGTACAGGTTCCTCATGAGCACAATTAAGTGTTCTGGAATTCCCATTCTTTGTAATATTATCCATAATTTTTTACCATCCACACAGTTGAATGTCCTTGCATAGTCAATAAAACACAGGTAAACATCTTTCTGGTATGCTCTGCTTTCATCCAAGATCCATCTGATATCAGCAATGATATCCCTCGTTCCACCTCCTCTTCTGAGTCCAGCCTGAATTGCTGGCAATTCCTTATTGATGTACCTGCTGCAATCTTTTTTGAATGATTTTAAGAAAAATTTTACTTTGCTGTGATATTAATGATTGTCATGGTTTGAATTATGTCCCCCCAAAAATGTGTGTATCAATTTAGCTGGGCCATGATTCCCAGAATTGTGTGGTTGGCCTCCATTTTGTGATTGTAATTTTATGTTAAAAGAGGATTAGGGTGGGATTGTAACACCACCTTTACCCAGGTCACATCCCTGATCCAATGTAAAGGGAGTTTCCCTGGGGTGTGGCCTGCACCACCTTTTATCTC